TCCAAGGAGCTAGCTTTCGTGACCTTATGCCTTACACCCGTGGGTTTGGAGCATAGTGCCTAGGAATTTCAGTCTTTGTCTTCTTTTGGGCTCACAGCAGTTTCGGAGTTTCGGGTTCTGGGGCTGAGTTGAGGGACTCGCTACGAAAGCTGGCTCAACATGAGATCATGCTGATAAAGGGTTTAGGGCTTAGGGTCTAGGATTTGACTCAGGTTCCTGTGCCAGCCTTTAACTGCCTGCCTCAGGGTGAAACCTGCGACTCAACCACTGAGTTTCTGCATTCTATGTAGAGCCAAAACCCTAAACCCTAAACCCCCAAACCCCTAAAACCCTAAACCCCCAAACCCCTAAAACCCTAAACCTCCAAACCCCTAAATCCCAAACTCCCAAACTCCTAAACCCCCAAACCCCAAACCCCCAAACCCCAAACCCCCAAACCCCTAAACCCCAGAAGGTGAACCCAAACAGCAGCTAAATCAGAAACACCCCTCCAGTCCTTTCCGGCCTAAATGTAGGACCCTTAAGGGGTTTAGGGTTTTAGGGTTTTAGGATTTTGGGTTTAGGGTTTTCGGGTTACCCTTGAAATAATGTCTTTTGGGCTGGTTTGGTGTTTAGGGTTTAGAGTTTAGGCATGGATGATTATGAAAGCTTCGACATCAAGCCCCGAACCCTTCTGACAAGAAAGAGGTACTAATGACAAAACACTTGCTACTGCTATTCCTTCAAACCGCTTGTGGAAGTATGCTTCAGTATCTTGTTTTAAGCATGTACTGTATGTTGCTGTAGAGCACAAATCAAACTTATCCAGGCTCCCCGTACAACCCCCAAACTCAATACTGTGTTCTTGATGTGGAGGTTGTGAAAATTGCGGTCACTTTGCAAGCACCCTAAGTAGTACGCACAATGTTGCGCCGGCGACACCCCAAACGGACTGTAACTTTGAAAGCCTTCCATGTGGTGTTTAGAGTGTTCTTGACAGCTCCTGCCTGCTAAGCACCTCCCTAACCTTAATCCCTCAGCCCTGAACAAACCCAACCCTCCCCAAGCCTCTTAACTCTAAACCTCAGAACCCTAAACCCTAAACTCTGAACCCCAATGCCACCTCATCAGCCAGCTTGGTGACCATGCCCTCAAGCATATCCCTCAGAGTTTGCATGGGTTCCCTTGCTCACGTAAGGGCATTGGGAAAATTTAGGGATAGCAAAATCTAATTGAGGGGAAACCTTAAACTTCAGTACAATGGGGAGCTGGTTAAGACAACCCACAAGTTTTGGAGCTAAGAGGTTTCAGAAGAAGTTTGAGGGGTTTGAGCTTTTGGCTGAGCATGGTACGGAACACCAGTTTAAACTAAAATGGTAATAAGTACATTGATATAACAACGGCTTTTAGGGTCTGGGGTTCAGGGTAGCGCTTGCCGGCTACTTCTGGCATGTCACCATCTCATCAGTACACAATCACACCTTTCAAGCTCGCCCTGCGTCTCTCTCCGTGCGTGTATCCTCCTTTCCCTCTTCACTAGTTTATGTTCTCTATATCAGTTTCTGTATCTTTCTTTCACGTACAAAGCTCATGAACGCCCGTCAGGTCTCTTTCAAAAACAAAAATGCAGGCCTGTGTCTCATAAACCCCTGTAGGGACAGTGTCTGTAAGGAAAAAGGACCCAAGGCATCATTTAATAGTAATAGTAAGAGTACTAATAATAGCTATAACGGGATGATGGAAAAGAAAATGAAACCTACTATTTAGGGTTTAGGGTTCGGGGTGTAGGGTGAAGGGTCGAAGTCTTAGGGCCTGAAATCTCAAAAGGAAGGGACTGCAGAGCACAGTCAAACTAAAAGGGTTGCGTAGGATTGCATATTCATGTACAGGCATGACCGCAGCATGACTCTTGATTTAAGTATAGAGGGAATCCTTAAAGTATAAAGGATCCCTCAGGTGGACCCCGTTAATTAAAAAAAAAAAAAACTGAACCCTCCAACCCACAACAGGACAGCCCAGCACTTTGGGCTCCTGGCTTTACGCCTTCGAGATTGCTTGACTCAGCAGGCTGAATCAAGTTCAGCAGAGCCTGAGTAAGAATAGTAATAATACTAGCAGTTCTGATGGTAGTAATAATAATCAACATCAGAGTACTAATACTAATAATACTACTCGTAATGAGAATAACAGGCGGGCAGCTTATGGTCCAGTGGGTAATCTTCCCCCGGCCTTCCACACAACCCCTGCTTACAAGTGAGCGGGGCCTCCGCTGGGTTGCTGTTGCGGAACTTCAACTCAGTTACCTATTTATGGAATTCTGTAGGGGTTTAAGGTTTACCCTTAAATTGCACATAGCAAATGACAGGGCTTCCTTGCTGCCGTAACTTAATTCCCTGACGGCAACCCAGTATGGGAACGCTATGGAAACGACCCACCTGTAGATCTTGAGGGACTCAAGGCATGATATTTGTGGTCCTGAGATTTTTTGTAGGGCTCCAGAGGGTTTACGGTTTAGGGTACGGGCCTCGGGGTTAAGCAAGGTTGGGGCTGGGGTTTATGCTTAGGGTACGGGCTTAGGATTTCAGAAGTGGGCCTAACGGCTTTTCAGATTTGGGGTGTGACGCCCCAACAATTTCCTCTAATTCCACAACAAGACCCCTACCCGCAACACATAGGCCATAGTCTAAACTCTTAGTATGCCCGTTAATAACCTCCGTAGTAGTCCCCTATACCCCCTATCTAACCCCCATTAAGGACTTTAGACCATGGCACACATCAAGCCTGTCAACGCTGATTATCCCGAGGTCTACGGCCAACACATGCAAACTCCTCATCCGGAACCCTCTAAACTAAGCTCAAGGCTCAAAAAACAAAGTACTAGCAATACCGGTGTCTACATAACTTACAGAAGCATCTAGAATTTACATACACCATAAGCTCCCCCAAGCCCCCTAAACCCTCAACCCTAAGCCTAGGATGCCACCGACGTGGATCCACTTGAGCACAAGCTAGTCCATATAGAACCCTATAAAATTCCTATATAGCCCATTTAGAAACCTATATAATCCTCATAGAGCAAGCAAGCCTTAGCATCCCAAAGGCCCCCAAGCGCCAGACTGCGCTGTGCAAGCGCTGCGCTTCCTTCGTGAGGAAGGGCACGATTTTGGCCTGGAGTGAATAAGGGGTTTAGGGTTTAGGGTTAGGGGAAGGGGTTTGGGGATATGGGAGAATTAGGGGTAGCTACTATAATGGAGAATCAAATGGAAAAGAAAATGGAAAATGAAATGGAAACTGGTATCATATAGGGGGTTATAGGGCTTAGGGGTTCCCAAAATTAGGGGTCCCTTTAGAAGGGGGTTACATGGGGTTATATGGGGTTCTATGGGGAAGGGGTATGCAAGGCCTACAGAGGGTTACGGGAGATCGCATGAGCTATAGTCTAAACTCCTAGCATCCCCCTTAAGAACCCCTATAATAATAGTCCCCTATATCTTCCCATATATAACCCCCTTTTAGGAGTTTAGGGTTTAGTGGCCCTAGCTTGAAAACCACCCTCAAACCTACAATTCCAAAGCTGCCAAGACAGTTCGTGAACTCGACAAACCCTTCAAATGTAAAAAATACCCCGAGCTCCAGAAACTCTAAACTCTGAACCCTAGGGCTCAGGGCTGGGGGTTCCTACTTGGAGAGTCAGGGGGACCTGATAACTGGGTTCATAATGAGGATAGCTGGGGTTACTATATGGCTTATAAAGGTTAAAAATAAACTTATTGTCCATTTGCTTTTCCATTCCTGCATTCCCTGCTTACCACCACTCTAACCAAACAATACTGTAGACTGTAGACCCTAAGCGCTATTTTACTAAACTCCGAACCCTAAACCCTAAACCCTAAACCCTTTGGCCTTTACGATGTCGTTGGCGGGCCGACGCAGCGCAGCCAAAGAGGAGCCCTGCGCGGATTCTGCTTTCTTCTTTTTCGGCGGCGCCCCGAGTAACGGTAATATGGTTTAGGGTTTAGGCTTATGGGGCTGGCAAATAGTTTAGGGTTTAGGGTTCAGGGGTTTTGGCTTTAGGGCTTTCAGGTTTAGCGTTTAGGGATAGAATATGGCTTTGGGTATATCATAAATAGATCCCCATATACCCATATTCTCTCTACTTAAGGGGGACTATAATCAGAAGCAGCAAGAGCGCCCACGGGTCCTTATTGGGAGACTACTAAAAGCTACAAGCTGAAGATTCCTTATTAGGGGTGAATGTAGCCACACTACTGAAAATCAAAAAATACATAAGACTTATTGAGGTTTGGTAAAGGATATGTTAAGCATCATGTTGAACAATAGATAACCCAGCCAACCCATGAACCTTAATCCCTAAACTCAACATCCTAATCCCTAAACCCTAAACCAGAGTCCCTAGACTCTACATCCTGATTCCTAAACCCGAAGCACAAAACCCGCATCCCTTCACCCTAAGCCCTAAACCCTAAGCCCTAAGCCTTGAAGCGAAACCCCGGCCTGCTTTCGCTTCACCTGGAGGAGTTTTCGGCTGGATGTGGGAATTTTGGGTTGATGATTTTTACAGTTTAAGAAAAGTTGGGTTTAAGGGGCTTGAGGGTTTATGATTTATGGAGAAAAGTTGGGTTTGAGGGGTTCAGGGCTTAGGGCTTATGATTTATGGTCTAGGAAAAATTGGGTATAGGAGTGAATCCCCTCCCCCTAACATTAAACGTCCCGACCTCCCCTAATATTAGATCTTCCCAAGAAAGTTTAAAACATGAGAGTATTCAATATTAGGGTGATGGGGGAGTGAATATTGGAGAGGAGGGGATTAGGGACCTTCGGGCTTAGGGTTTAGAAATGACCAGCACTTTAGCCTCGGGGTTCAATGCTTGAAGTGCGGGTTGCACAAAAAGGGGGCCTCTGCAGAATCAGGGGACACTGTATGTATACCGTTCTGGAGGGTAGGACGCATTGCAGGCCCATTTTTACGCAGAATTGGTGCGCTTGTAGCCATTTTCCCAGTGATTGTTTTGACGCTTCAAACCGGAAGCGTTGTTTGTATTTATCCATAACTTCCACAGCATCAAGAAGGTATGGATATATATGTATGTATATCTATGTATATATATATATGTGGGGGGGGGTGCTCAATCAGGGGTCTAGTGTTGGGCATTGAATTTTGAGGAACTCCCAAAGGAGTGTCCGTGTCCGGGGTTTCAGAGTCCTTCACCTCTCCACAAAGCCATTGGACCCCTTCTCAGACACTGGCTTCCGAGGAACCGGCAACAAAACACAAGACCAAAAATACGCAAAAACAAAAAAAAAAAATGTTTAGCTGATCCTGGTAATAACTTATGGAAGGTTCCCTCCCATACCTAAAATGCGTGAGAGACGTTCAATACACCTCAAGAACCATATACATCCCCTGATGTCCGGCCCCAACAACCTTTCACCCAAGCACAAGCCCCAAACCCCTCAATCCCACCTTACCCCACCCCTGCTCCCTTGTTGGCTCCTCCTCAATTGCGTCTGATCAGCCTGGACTATCGTTAAGCAGCCTAGTTAAGAAAACCCTCCCCGACCCCTGTTCTTCCTAGGCTGTTCTGCTCTACCCTGCCATACAGATGAGGTTTTTGCACCTGTAATACAAATTGAAACCCTATCCGCCCATCTGCAAAAAATGTAAAGTGCTAAGATAATGATTAGTCAAGGTCTGTAAAAGTTCCCCTTCAATCTTGCCTGCAGCAGGCTCCTCCACTTGACATCCAGAAGAGACAGCTTCTGAGACCTGCATCAAGCAGCTCGGAACCCGGAGCCCTGAACCATGTGTTCGAAAAGTAGGAAGCATGCAGGGAACATGGAGAAGGACTACAGAAAATGAGCAAGCAAGGATCACACAAGGATCCTAAGGAGTCCATCTGAAGTTGCTGAGAGTTCAGGGACGAGGGTTTGAGGAAATGATTGGGGCTCCTGACTTCAGGATTCGGATGTCAGCTCCAGAGTCTGGAACATGGACTTGGTAGCTGGGATTTGGGTTTTAGTTTTGGGCAGAGAGCTTTTCGGTTGCCATGTTCAACACGCAGGCAGCCCAATATCCCTCACTTAAGTCATGTTCCTTAAACCATATGAAGGATCCTACTGGCCTTTTACAAAAGATTCCTTTTTCAGGGTCTGTTCTCTGGGGGAAGCTTCATCTTGCACAGTGATTGCCAATGCAGCTGGGCTCCCAGGTTGCTGTTTTCAGTTTAGGGTTAGGGTTTCAGGTTTAGGGTCTAGGGGGCAACAGCTATAACGTGGGACAATTCAAGCAGGAGTACTCTAGCCCACGTTATGAATTCTTTAGAGAAGACTTAGAGCTTCAGAAGTTTTGGGGGCCGCAAGGAAGGAGTACTCGTGAGGACATGGGATTGTTCACAAACCCACTTGAAAGCGAATCATGCACACTACCCTATTCCACAAAATGGTGGAGTTTTACAGTAGTCCTTCTTTTGCCGCCTGGAGAGCTTAAAAAGTACGACCCCGTGCAGACTTGTAATCCTGCCGCCAAACACATTCTATGCGTCAGTTCTACGTACCACCTGCACACCCTAACGACAGAGGTCCTTGATAAGGATCCCGGAACCAACATGTTGAGCCCAGCTGGCAGCTTCCAAACATTAGGGCCCACACTAGCTACCCCAAAATATATAATAAACTCTACGGATCCCAAAGCCCTAAACCCTAAAACCTAACCCTAAACCTAAGCCCTTGAAAATCCTCATGTTGGGGGCTACCGAGGGCCGTGCACGATCGCCACGGCTTTCTCCACTGCCTGGCCGTCATGGCAGCTTTCTGTGATCCTTTACGTTCGCCAAATCCCAGCTAATTACCCTCCCCAAACTCCAATATACCCTAGAATATCCCTAGATCTCCCTAGAAAGATATGTATATACATATATATATACACACACATGCAATATGTCTCCCGCATCTCCCGTATATAACCAATATAATTCCTTCCTTCCATCCCCCTAGACATTCCTACATATCCTCATATATCCCCATAGTTCCCCTGAGGCTAAGCTGTATGCAGAAGCTGGCCTCTAGCTCTTCGCTTCGGATCTTCTGGTTGGATTCAAAGTCGGCTGCCTCTGGGCGGCTTCATAGGTTTTACAGTTTGGGTCTTGGCGGGCGTAGGGCTAAGGTTGAGGATGTAGGGCTTAGGGTTTCAGGCTTAGGGTTCTGTTCTGGGCTGGGTTTCAGGATTTCAGCAAACCGGGCTGGGACAAGGTCAGCAAACATTGGCTATGGACATTACAGGTTGGCACATCATGGGTGGGTGGGATTTGGGCTATAGTCTAAACTCCCAGTATCCTCCTTAATAACCCCTATAGTAGTTCCCTATATAATCCCCTATATAATCCCCCTTTAAGGAGTTTAGACTATGGCTCATTTGGTGTCTTCTTTTAGGGTTGGGGGCTGGGGAGGCATGCTCAGGGTATCGCATTTAAGTGTCCGAACAAGCTTCACAACAAAAAGCTGGAACAGATTTGAGTAGGGACGCCCTTTGGACGGAAAGCTCCCATCTTTCTCCTCATGTGTAACTGACAAACAGAAACCTCTCAATCATCCCAAACAAGGACCACATAACGAAGGTATATTCCCTAATATATCAAATCCCTTGGGCACCTGCAGGGAGTCCCCCTTTTTTGGAAAGTCCCATTTCTGCCAACCTATCTGGAAATTATGCCATCGGCTTTTCGAGGGTTTCCAGTCAATTCACCATCATGTCCTCGCTGGATAGGTATATTATGGAGCACTTGGTGGGATCTCTACCCGTAGCCGTAAGGAGCTATGAGATACGCTAAACCCTAAACCCTAAACCAGGGGATATATTGGGATAATGGAAAAGAAAATGGAAACCACTGTTGAGGGCTTAGGTGTACCGAAGTGGAGCTTGGCTTCGAACAGCCCCTGCTTCCACAAAGCCCCGTAAACCAATGACGTCTATATTAGGGTTTAGGGTTTAGGGTCCTAGCAGTGGAAAGAACAAGAAAATCAACTGTTTGCTAGAACAGAAAGAAACAAGAGCAACCTTTTCACTGAAAAGAAAACTTAAGAAGCCTATGGCACAACACGCAAACCTGAAACTGAAACTACCACCCTTTCAGAAACCGCAAGCCTTCTGCCGGCAGGTTGATGTAACGTCCTTGCTCCAGCAAGGGAAGGTTTGGCATCTGAGGTGTAGGGCTTAGCCCTGTGTTGGGCCTTGTGGCTAAAGGTTTTGAGGCTTGAAGCTTAGGATTTGCAGTGTATGGTTCCGAGTTAAGTGGGGTCTGAGGTATGAGCTTGGCCTTCAGAACATCATTGATCGAGCGACCGCCCTGCCTTGTGTGGAGGATTCTGCTAGGTTGCGGACAGATGGGCCGCCGCTGAAAATTACAGGTCCTCTTGGGAACCACAATTTCCACGGCTACCTATGCAAGGGATTAGGCACAGTTCTATGGATATTCTTTTTGGGAGTCCCTGCAATTAGGACTACAACATGTTGGGGTTTAAACTGGGGCTCCCTATTTCCGGAAGCCCCAAACACATATATGCACATATATATATATATCTATCTATCTATGTGCGTGTCCATATATGTATATATGTGTGTGTGTCTGTACTTAAATAGACATGTATGTATGTATGTATGTATGTAGGTAGGTAGGTAGGTAGGTAGGTATGTGTATCTATCTGCCTATACATACGTGCATACATATGTATATATATATACATACAGGTATCCTACCAGTGTGCAGCTGAAAAGTTGAGGAAAGCCAAAGTGCTATCCAACCAGCCCACGCATTGGCAGTCCCCAGAAGCCACATGGTTTTACCCAGAAAGCCCAACTCACCTTAATTAAAGAATAGATGGGGTTCTAGACGGAGGGAGAGAGAGAGAGAGAGAGAGAGAGAGAGAGATGTATATATATATATGTATATATATATGTATATATATATATGGCGATATACTGGGTAGATGACAATGTATTTTGTGTTTTGAGGAATATGCCTCAACTTAGGTTCTCTGGGCATGTCTGCTGTTCTGAAACTTAGGGGCTCTTGGGGGTCTCGACTACCTAAGGTACGGCACCTGGCATTTTGAGGTGCGGAGACCCTAGGCTGGGTTGCTGTTAAGGAACTTAAATTAAGTTACCATAATAGGTTATATATAGTAAATAATAGGGTTTCCCCAATATAGTAACTTAATTTAAGTTCCTTAACAGCAACCCAGTAGGCTGTGGAACCCAGCCATGGAATGAGCTCAACACATCTCCAGATCGTTGGAGTACTGTTACTATCAGGTAAGTAGGCTGCTTTTTAAAAGCATACATTCACGATAAAGAACACTAAATGCTGAAAACTCACACTCAAATTCAATTCTATGAATAGCCTGGAGAAGAACCCTGTCAATCTTGAGGCAATGACGTCCAGGTACTTGGTGTCGGCATCCTTTTGCAGCAATTGTACACCCCTCAAGATGGTTGATTCAGAAGAGAAAGAGAAAATGTGTTTTCTGAGATCTGTCTGAACAGTCCGTCTGCGAAGCTAACCCTATGCTGGCCGGTCTCGAAAGCTTCCCTGGCCTCTGTCCTTCCCGAGCCATGATCACTCAACTACTCAACCAAAATATGAGCTGTGTACTACTGGGCGCCTTAAGTCATCAGCATCACCCCCAATCATGTTGCGGCATCGTCTAGCCACAACAAGGCACAGTATGCGCACATATGATCAGACTCAGGAGGATTCGACTAAGGAACCCTAAGTTGAGCCGTGTAAACCAACGACAACCATTGTTGGTCAGCTATGATCGATTCTCCTCTGGATATTTCAGAACATCCCATCCCCAAGAGATACCCCCATGCCCCTGAACCCTGAAAGCTCCACCTATACAGCCCCAAACCTTCAGGTCTTGTTGTTGTAGAAATAATCCAATCAAGTCGTCAGACTCTCCACCGAAGTCCATGTTTAAAGAAGGAGACTTGTACAAAAAACGCTGTCTGCCAGAACTCACCTCCCCATCTACCCCTAAAGCAGAAGGATCCTTCATTGAGAGACTGCCAAATCCAGTCAGTTTAGGATTATCCTAGCATATCCCCAACACATCCCCTATATAACCCTAAACCCTATACCCCCCTATAACACCATTTAGGGTTTAGGGTGTAGCACAGCCCTCACCAGCCCTAGATCAGGGAGCCTGATGCTTCGGCGCTGCACCTACATCCCCAGAATCGCTTAGGGTAGTTTAGGGTTTAGGGATGAAAGCCTTAAACCCTAGTCCCTACACCAAGGGCCGGCAAGGGCTATTGCTCCCCCCTTGCTGTAAGTTGTTAAATTCTAAACCCTAAATCCCTTAAGCCTACACCCCTTGCTGTACACTGCTCCACAACTGACGCAGCTGCGACGCCCCGCCTTGGAGGACGTGGCAGTGTTCTTTTCGTCCTTGAACGCTCGGGGGCTTTTTTGGGTGGAGAAGAAAAATGGAAACTACTACTTAGTGTTTAGGGCTTGGGGGTTAGGGTTTGGGGTTCAGGGTTGAGGGTTCAGGGGTTGGGGGTTGGGGGGTTTGCGGGTGCGTTGAATGGTATCATAGGAGTTGACATGAAGGATGTTCTATTGCCACCACCGCTGCCACCACCATCGCCACCACCGCCACCACGACCAAAAACCAGGTTGATATTATGATGATGAAGATGAGGTCCACAACTAATCTAAGGCCCAACTAGGGTGCATTTCAGGCTTACAGGGTCCCATGTCTGTAATCATTTCGCATTTCCGCGCCTCCAGCGAAGCCTTCAGGGCCAGCTTCTTGCTCTTCAGGGTCGCCTTGCGGCTCTGATCCTTACAGGCGGGATGCAGGGATTTCACTGAAGCACGTGTTTCCAAAACACGAAACACACACACACACACACAAGTTCCAATCGTGTGTGCCAAAATCCTAAACGTTGATAAGTATGTAGGGGCTAGTTTACATAAAGCACCCCAATGTCTCCCTAAACCCTATACCATCGAGGTCTTGTACACCAAGCCTAAACCCAGGTTCCCCGCCCTCACAACCTTCAGGACTAAAGCCTTGGCCTCTACAATGCCAAAGTTATCACACTAGTCTCCCACCTATATTATAGCATATTATGTGAAGTTATAGTATATTGTACTATAATATACTATACTATGGTATATCATAGTACATTATAGTATAAGCTAAGTTCTGCCACTCTCAACGCGGTTTGAACCTTTGAAGCTTAGTCTCCAGAAAAACGTACTAACCCCTCGCGGACAGCATAAAATCAAAGACTACCCCTAGGGCCCTGCAAGTCCCTCCAAAGCTGCATGACTGCACAACCTGCAAAGACCCAGACAAAATAGAGGTTTCCCAAAATTAGGGGTACCTTTTTAGGGGTCCCATTATAAGGATTATTGTATTTTGGTGTCTATATTGGGGTCCCCTTGTTTTGGGAAACTACCAAATAGACTAGCTGGTGAGCCCTCAGTCCTCAACCCTTTCCTTTTCTGCTCCCCAAGGCCAATCCCTACCAAGGACCCTTAGAGCCTTAGAGAAAGTCAGCTCTCGAATCCAATATGTCTTGGGTACTGCCCCCCCCCAGTAACAGTCTATATTAGGGGTCCTATTAAGGGCTATATGTAACCATAATATATTTATTATGCAACTGCTAGTGAGGGGGGGCAGTACCCAAAATGTGTCCCTTTGGCATCCCAACAGCCCGCCTTGAAAAACCCGAAAACAATCTTTCAACTCTGAAACCTAAATCCTGAACCCTGAGCCTAAAACCCTCCACCCTAACCCTAAACCCTATAACCCTAAACCCCAAAACCCCTACACCCCAAAACCCTTATAGTCCCCCTTAAGTAGATAGAATATGGGGTATATGGGGATCTTATCATAATATACCCAAAGCCATATTCCATCTACTTGAGGGGGACTATAACCCCACAAGAAACCCGTAGAAAGCTGGCCCAGCCTGCGTCTCAGCGGCTGCCTGATCCTTGAGGCTGGCGACCATAAGCTCATGGCTGTGAACCTTGGACCTCAGCAGTTACATAGGGCTTGGGGATTTACGGTTTAGGGTTTGGGGCTTGGGGTTTAGGGTTTAGGGTTTAGGGTTTAGAGTTTGGGGCTTGGGGTTTAGGGTTTAGGGTTTTGGGTTTGGGGTTTAGGGTTCTTTTTTATGCGGTCCTTTCTCGAAAAGCCGTGCTCCAGAGACGCCTAGGTGCTTTAGGGTTTGGGTTTTGGGGTTTAGGGTTTGGGGTTTCGGGTTGGGGGTTTGGGGTTTAGGGATATATGGTTGTATGGGGATGAAATACTGGTTGTACAGGGTTAAAAACGGTTGCATAGAAATTGTGTGGAGCTATATCTACTTATAAAGAGTTATATATCACATACCACCATAGTGGGTCATACAGGGTTATATGGGGATGATTATGGGGTTTTATATGGTTGTGTAAGCATGATAATATAAGAGGTAAATTGCAATCATATAGGGATTGTATAAGGTAATGCATTCAAAATATAATCCCAAGAATGGAGGCTTCGGTGCTTGGTCTTGAAGGGCTTAGGGGTTGTAGGGGACATGTAGAGCTTACGGTTCAAGACGTTGGGTGACACTTCAATCACATGGACGAGGAATGAAAAATTAAATGGAAATCGACATTATATGAGCGTGTACAGGTTTTGTAGGGTGTGGGGGTTCAGGGGTTTCGGACAGTTCTATAAGAAACCAGAGGAATATATGCGGGCATTTCCAAAAATTGGAGACCCCGTCACTATCGCTTCCGACATACTATAACCCTGTAAATAGGTACCCCAATTCAAGGCTCCCATGTGGATTATACGGTAATCCCCCTAGATCTATAATTAAAAAACAAAGTTCCTTTGGATTATACTATAGTTGAATTGGAAGATTATAAAGAAGTAGACTACATTCAGGAGGTATGATAAGTTTTGGGTACTGCTTTGAAGGGGCAGGGGGTGGACTGGGAGAGTAAACATCTGTACAACTGTGGATGGACAAAATCCTGCATGCCCCTACATACCAGGGTTTACGGTTTAGGGTTTCCCCTAACCCTAAACCCTAACCCTAAACCCTAACTCTAAACCCTAAAGGTTTCATGTTTACGGTTTGCAGACCTGGTCTCATCAGAAAAGCGTATGGCCAACAAAAATGGTTATATGAACTACAATCTGAACTCCTCATATCCCCCTTAGTAACTCGTATAGTACTCCTCTATAGTACCCTCTCTAACTCCCCTTTACAGAGCTCAGACTATAGGTGATGCGCATTTGGAAGTCCCACCATCTTTACAAATTGACTCCTCCGCTCTCCCTTCTGTGCCAGTAGGCCGAACATCACAACAAGCCCTGCACGCCTCGAATGCTGGCCTAGCCATTTAGTTAGTTATCTCAAGACTTACCCCGAAGAAGTAAGCCTCCGGCCCTCAACACTAAGCCCTACTCTTCTGCGAGACCCACTGCCGAATAAGATTTGGCTTCACATAACATGGTTTTACAAGGTTCTTAGGAAACCATTACAGAGGAGGAATCCCCAAAACAGTCCCTATACAAACCCAGATGTTACTAAAGGCCTTTCAAGAACTGAGATCTGGTCTTCTGAAAGTCCTGTCAAAGAGAGACCATTGGCAATGCACTTCCTTGAAAGGAGAGCCTAACCAACAAGAGAGTCTACCTTCTGGGGATTTTGGGGGAGTTCCAAGAGAATCTTCTGAGGATTTTAGGGACAGGTAGTTCCCTAAACCCTATAATAGCTTGTATTTTCTTTTCCATTATCCCTATATTACCCCTATATCTACCCTATTATACTATAGTAGTTTCCATTTTCTCTTCCATTATCCCTATAATACCTCTATATCTACCCTATTATACTATAGTAGTTTCCATTTTCTTTTCCATTATCCCTAAACCCTAAACCCTAATCCCCTGTCACTTCACCACCAACTGCCGCCCAGAATCGCTTCGGCCTTTTCCAGCGCTACCTTCTCCTGGACTGTGGGTTTGGAAGGGAAGGCGACCCCGAACCCGAAACCGAGCGGGGGACCCAGGGTTATAGGGATTATATGAGGTTATATAGGGAGTATATAGGGGGTTATATGGGGATTATAAAGGGGTTACATGGGAACCCATAGGCCTGAACCAATTAGTTTTGAAAAGTCGAAGTAGTGAAAGGAGGGCAAGATGTCCATAAGAGCAAATGCTTCTGGATCAGGATGTGCCGGTATTCTGATCAAACAAGAAGCGCTGAGGGGTATCCATCTTTGAGGCATCACGGCATTCGTGATAGATTTCCACACAATTTCTGCACATTTCAGACTGGTTTGCCCAGGCACGCTCGTGGTCCTCAACAAATTTTACGAAGTCGCGAATAATGTAGACCTCTGATAAATAAAATCCCCTCCCCTAATAGGGATTATAAACGGGATCCTAATATTAAGGCCCTTTTTTCCAACCAGAATCTCCCTGCAGAGCCTGTGGGCAGGGAAGCCTCCATATACGAGGGAAACCGAGTACCATGCACAAAAGGCACTGGCTGAAGTAGCTTCTGTTTGGGGCTCAGCGCTTGATTCCAATTTTTGGAGCCTTGCGCAATGATTGCAATGTTCACTATGGTGCAGAATAGTAATTAACGTAATGCCAGCAAAACAGTAGCAACAATGATTATAGTAGTAAAATCAATAATAGACATAATAATGATAGTAATAATCTGGGTTGGCCCCTAAAACCCTTTGAAAAATATTAATATATAGGGTCCCTTATTAAAACCATCCGGGAAAATATCAAATATCCCAGGGGCCTACCCAGTCACAGGATGGCAGAAGTCTAGACGTGGGAAGCGGAGCGGGGATTGCTTATTACGGTCGTCGACTAGCACATGTGAATTATAGTCTGAACTCCTTAAAACCGGGGTCATATAGAAGACTATACTAGGTTCCCCAGTAAACCTCTTATCATAAGGGTACCCTTTTTCCTGCTATTCAGCTTTAATAAGGAGACCCCCAAACAAAAAGGGTAA